GCCGACGACGGCCAAATTTGTCCTTTTGCAGCCGTCGAAGGCCAGATCTGGCCGTAGATATGGCCTTTTCTAGCCAGATCACTGTGGATCTGGGGAAAAGGCCATATCGACGCACGACCGGCCAGATCGACCGGTCTGAGTCGTAACGCCATTTTTTGGCCAGATTCTGGCAATGGTGGCCGGAATCTGGCATTGTGGGTAGGTGGGGGTGTTTTTGTAATTTTACAAATTTTTTATATTAGGGTGTTTAGTTAAATTAGCAAACCTAAGAGGTTTTTGTGAATTTTTAAATTTTATCTCGTAATATCACCCTATTTAACTACCGAATATTATTCCCAAATTTTATCCAAAATAACAAAACAACGAACCCCTAAAATCCTGATACCAACTATAAGGTAAGGAAATAATCCTATACTGACTTTGATTCTTGTGAGAAAAGGAAACTGAAATGATGGCACTAATACATTTCTAAAAGGAAAACATAACCTTTAGAAATGGCAAGAAATCCCAAGATTTTGTAACTACGTCTAAAATAGGTACGTAGATCCTTAGGGAGGTCCTGCTCAATTTGATACTAAACAGTGAATTATTGTGATCTTACAGATTTGAGAAAGAAATCCCTGACCCTTCCCTCAGGAAAAGTAGCTGTCAAAGAACAGCAAGGAATCATGAGTTGAAGACAGCTGAGGACACCTATACACATGAAGAAGGTGAATTATCTTTAAAGACTGATAAGCTTCAAATAATGGGCATGGCACTGAAGCAAAGTCGGTAAAACTGTTGATCGACATGCTCTTCAGATGATACAAGCAAATCCAGGTTTTGCTCTTTGATAGCTTCATTTCTTCCTGAATGTTTTGATGTTGTTTCCATATACATGTGGGAGATTGTTGCATTGATAAAATTTTGTGGACTATATGATTGACAGGAGTATGCATCCAAGCCCAAAAAGAAGGTCAAACAACAGATCTAGGGGTAGCCCCAGCTTGAGTCCTAAAAGGATTGTCAGGAATGATGGAAGTTCCAAGAAGACAATGATAAGAGTGCTGGCCATAAAGCCCCTGACCCTTCTGCTTCTAACCGTGGCCGGATTTGTCTCGAAGCCCAGCTCCAGATGGTGCTCCAAAGCGCATTAGAAAAGGCTGGCTTTACTGAACGCTACGCTTTTGCACGTCGGTACCGTTCTCCAGAGCGTTCACCTCCTAGATCCTTCCAGTACGGTGGAAGAATATTGAAAGGAATCGAGATAGGTAATCATGGTTTCATGTGACATGATTTAAGCCAACATGGTCTCTGAATTTATTCCTTTTGTTTCTTCTTGTATATTTTGTTTTGTCTTTTAGAAGGTATTCAAGTCACAGAGTTATTCTGAACACTCTCCACGTAGATATTACAGAAGTCCACAAAGAGGCCAGAGTCTCCCCAGGTTTCCTCTCTCTCTGATTGTTTGTGTTTATGCCCGTTATTATGCGAATTCTTGTCAGTGTCTTGTCACTTTCTATAGCATTCTAACGTGTTAGCATTTTTGTTATGCACTTTCATAGAGCGTACATGTAGTCTTATTTCCATGAAAAGTTATTGACAATAGTGAATCCCTGGATTTACATTAGTGGCAGTGTTAAGCTGTGCCTGTAATACTCATTTTAAGTGTGTATCTGATAAAAAATTTATTTGCTCCACCAACAATTAGTTTTACATAATGGAGTGAAATTCAATCATCTAATATTAATCAATTTTATCTGAGAGAGAGTAAAGATTTATTGTACTTGAGAGTTGTAAATTTCGTACTAAAGTCCATGACTACTACCACATCCAACATTGTTAATATAGTAAACCACTAACGGTAGAGGATCTACCTGTATGCCTTGTGACTTAAAAAAAAAAAATGGAACTTTTAGAAATATAAGTTCTTAGACAGCACTTTGATAAATAACCATTTCTCTTATGGGTTGTGTGATTCAATCTGTTAAGCTGAGTCACTGCTGATAGCCAATTATGAAGCAACAATCAATTTTTACTTTTCTTCACAGATCAACTACAGGAGAACCCGAAGTAGGAGCATTTCTCGTAGTCCAGTGGTTATCGTGGCCGTTACAGGAACCGCAGCAAGAGCGGAGTCCAATACGTAGTCCTAGTCCAAGAGATAAGCGGCCGTCCATTAGTGAGGGGTTAAAATCTCGTCTAGGTCCTAAAATTGAAGAAGGGCGCTCTCCTATCAAAAGAAGATTTAGGTCCAGGTCTAGGTCCTTGTCAGGAGCTTTTCTTCTCATTCTAAATCTCCGGAGATTTCACCAGCAAAGAATGTATTAGAATACCTTCTGCATCTTCCAGCAAGTCTGCATCAAGTTCACCATCTGGACAAAGAGGGTTGGTTTCCTATGCAGATTAGATCTCTTTCCGGAATTAGGTAGTTGAGTGGCTTCTTGGTCAGGATTGGTGGGACTGCACGTTCTGATAAAATCTGTCTGAAACCTATTTGTGCGTGAATTTGAAGTTAATATATAAGCATGACTAGAGGCCTATCCATAAGAGATTAAATTATGCTTTGCATTGTAATGTAAGTTGAATTCATAAATTTCGGAGCAGGTTAGCAGAGAATTTAGCTGGTAATGGAAATGTCTCAAACTTTCGATTAACGATTCTGGTATTGCTGCTGATTCATTTTGTATGTTGCAATATAATTCCCTTTTTCTGTTTTTTTTTTGGTGTGTTGGGTTCGGCCATCTCAAAGTGAGGATCTTTACTAATCCTCACAATAGATAAGGTTAGCATTATATCCGGCAGGGTTGGGTTGAGCATCCGAACAAAGACGACCCCATCGGGCTGGGATCACTGGCCAACTTCCAGTTTCGGGAATTCTTCCCTGATATTGGATGAGACCAAGTGGAGTTGTACTTGTTGCCCACAAAACCGGAAGCCTATTTTGCATCCGGTTCTTTACCAATTTTATTTATTTCTTTAAATATAGTTTTATTTATGTTAACCAAGTAAAATTTCTTCATTTATACCCTAAATTGGATAACATATTTAATAGTGTTAGAATTATGAGCTGTGAAGAGGAAAGATAGAAAGGAGATTGAAAAAGATAATTTAGTGAATCCAATTGTTATTGAATTGATATATTGAATTAACATTACCTTTCGATACTAAAATAACTATAAATCAAGGTAGTACATATTGTAATGATTCCTAGAATCTCCTAAAAGAGTAAACTAAATATTACTTTGCTACTAGGGCTGCATATGGTAAGAGCTCTAAGAAGATTAATTCGGTAATCTATCTTCAGGGAATATTTTATTATGGAGATGTCATATTAATGGAAAGATAAATTACCTTGAAGATTATTGAGAATGTTTGGTTAGAATAAATTGATGAATATGTTTGATTGGGAGGATAAATGGGTGGGTATGTTATATAGATTACTAAATTGTCCTCCTTTTTAAATATTAATATAATATTATTTTATTTTTTGAATCATTTCTTTTAACCCCCTACATTTGAAATTTTGCTAAAATACCAGTGCCATATAAAACTTTAATTTGCAGCAAAATCACCTCCACCCACCCCAAGTCATTGCCGACAGTCAGCTACCACCTTCTGCAGTCGTCGTAATGGCGCACGACGGGTCGGATTTGATCGGTAAGGTCGTTTCACCACTAAAGATGTGATCGTGAAACGACTATAGAAATAGCTAGATCTGACCATAAACGGCCTTATCGACACACAACTGGCCAGATCCCATCGGTTTAAGCCATTACAGCGACTGCAGCAAGCGGCCGACAATAGTCTTGGGTAATTGGGGGTATTTTGTTAACTAAACTTTTTTTTTATTGTGGTGTTTTAGCTATATTCTCAAATGTAAGAGGTCTAGGCTAATGGTTATTTGGTAGACATTTAAGGGCAATTGTGTCCGAAATGGTGTTTAATTAAGGATAAAATATGTATAAAAACCAAATTACCTCGGTAATCTTTTAATAACACCTCTTGGGGGGATAATCTGATTACCTTCTATATTACCAACAATAAACACTATTTGTAATAGAAGATACCCATAATATTTTATTACTTGTAAACTAAACAAGGGAATCTTAAAAATTAAACGAAGATTACCCCCGTAATCTTAAATGACCCCAATCCAAACACACCAATAGAGGGTTATGTGATTACCAACTCAGAAGGTGATATTTTAAGATTATTATGGTAATCCTATTTTTGTTCCAATTTTACCCTTACATAATAAAAATTCCAAACACAAATGGCCTCCATTTGATGTCAAATAACAATTAACTTAACTTGTTGAATGACTTCTTTAACCTCATTAATTAGTTATTTGGACAAAAATATCATATATATATAGTTCTCAAGATTATTTATCTTATTGATAATTTTTTTTTTTTTTTTTAAAATAAAACATTATCAAAACCAAATGCCCCATTAAGGTAAATAACATATTTTTACCATTTGCATTTCAAACCAAGCTCGCGAAAAAATATGCAAATGTTGTCGGAATCATCTGAAGCCATTCATTCTTGCATGTCATCCTCTTCTTCATCAGTCCGCACAATAACAGAATGCAATTCCTTTAAGGAAATTATTTGGCTGCACTTTCCCTCAATAAGACATGGAGCATTTGGCCCACAAAATGGAGGAAAGTCTCTAATCGCTGAAATTTTTCTCCTTGATAGATAATTTCTTCTTACTGAATTCTTCTGACTGTTATCCGAAAAATGTGACTATTTTTTCTTCATAGGATCTAGATTTCCGATAATCGTATTTTCTCCTTGAGTCATTTGAAATCAGGAGTCTTGCACGCCNGAAATGGGTCGGATTGTCTTTACTTCAAAAATCAGTAAAATCAATGATGTAATCATATTGAATTATTGATGATCGGCAGACTGATACGATTGTATATGTTTATAATTAATTTGCACCTATGCATATAACAAGTTAACAACGTACATGAATTCTTTAAAAAAAAAAAAAAAAAAAAAAACTTATATATATAAGAAATGAGATTGTAATTTTATTCATTTATAATATTATTTATGTGGTAATCCCAGTCAGAATGCCGACATCATTCTTGAAAATTCCTCGTAGCTGACGAGGCCATCACCATCTAAATCGGCCTCTCTTATCATTTGTTCAGCTTCTTCAACCGTTAATTTCTCTCCCAGATTCATCATCACATTTCTCAGCTGCACAGCCAAATTTAAAGAGATCAAATTAGTGAAGATTCATTGATTGAATCACTCGAACTTTCTAAGTCAAATTTAGTAGTTGGGGAAAGATCACATCACAGAGGCATTCCGGTCAAGAGCCAACACTTTTATATTTGATTTCATACGTTACATAAAATCATGCAATTAACAGTAAAGAGACATGATGAAGGTGAGCCCTAATACAAGTTAAAGAAAGTTGTATTTGCTAATTTAATTTGTTTACTTACCTCATTAGCTGATATATATCCGTCTTGATCTCTGTCAAATACTTTAAAAGCTTCTTTTAGCTCTTCTGCAACATTATCCTGGAAGAAAAAATATTATCATTTTTGAGTTCGAATGATCAATTCTGAAACCCTAAGGCCTAATTGAAGAAGACAAGTGTATGATTCTACCTACCTTCATCTTTCTTCCCATGATATTCAAGAACTCTTCGATATCTATATTCCCGTTTCCATCAAAATCAACTTCACTAATCATCTCTCGAACTTCCTGCTTTGTAGGATTTCCTTCCAGTGATTGGATCACTGCTGCAAGCTCTTCCATCGTGATAAAACCTACATCAAATTATTATAAACCAAACCAAGTTTAATTTAGACGTCACAAAAAATTTAATTATTTCTTTAAACCGTAATGAATTTTGAGATAAAACCCAGTTCTCTGATTCAACTAAAACATCTATAAAAGATAATAAATAAGCAGACAATTTATATATAAAAATTTAATTAATGTAGAAGAAGAAGAAGAAGACACACCATCTGAGTCTTTGTCAATCATACAAAAGGCCTCCTGGAACTCAGCAATTTGCTGTTCTGTCAGTGAATCTGCCATATCTGCTGGTTTTATTTTAATTGAGACTGAGAAGCGAGAGTGGGGAAAATTTGAAAGAATATAGTGCAAGGTCTCGGGAGGAAAACAATATATAAAGACAAAGAAACGGAGGACGTAGAACAATTCTTTATTATTTTTATTGAAATAGTCTGACGCGGTTGAGAGGCGAAATTCCACTATTCAAAGTCTTCCAGAATTTTCTTTCAGTCTTATATTAACGCTGTTTGGAGGAATTTTCCAATTTCATATACCCTACTTTGGGTTTGTATGGGAATCTCAAAAGTTAGAAAGAGTCAACTGGAGCTTGAATTTTCTTCTGAAAATGGCTAATCCAGACCCACCACAATTACCAACTCCAGGTCAAGCATGGGAAACCAAAGAAAAAACACTCTTGTTAGCCGTTTCTTTTAGGGCGTTTTAGTTTTTTTCATTTCCATTTACCAAACAAAACCTGTTCACACGATTTCAGCTTCGAAATTCTCGTGAATGAATAAAAATCTGATGAACACATCAAAGTATTCTGTAAACATAAAATATTAAACTCTGTATTTATGTCAAATTAACTCTTTTTGGTGTCTTTTACTGGCTTTAAGCGATACTAGAATAAATGAAATAAATTTAAATAATAAATTCCCTTATATTGCCACTCCTAAACACTAACCAATATTAATGATATTAACCATGCAAATGTTTGGTGACAGTGATAAAAACTTTTAGATGTATTATTTAAAAGGTTTTAAATCTAATTTTTTTTCTATTGCTATCCGGTATAGTTAATAAAAGATTTATCTGATTAATAAAAAAGTTATCTGATCATTAATCAAATTGTTGATTCAAATATCCAAATTACAAAAAAGAAAAAAAAAAACTATATATATTAATGATCTTCCAAAAGATTTTAATGAAATCAATTGGAAAAGTAACTATATTATAATGTCGAAGGTCATGGTGAAAGGTAAGCAACGAGGTCGTCAAAAATTTAAATTATTAACAATGTAAAATTTTATATTTTCAAATTTAAAATATAGTTCAATAATGAAAATTAAATTATACGGTGAACTCAGGGTCCACAACTCCAAACAGGCATAAAGACACGTGGATCAAGATTTAAGGGAAACACCGTGTAGGTCCACTGTAACATGTGTCTCGCGATCTAGTAGATTCCTCCCCATTACAAAATCAGCTAATGCTAGGTAAACCTTCTCACTCAAAACCAACTCACAAGCAAGCACTTGAAGGCCAAAGATTTTCGCCGCCGTTTCGATTCCCGAGTTCTAATCCGAGTTAACTCAGTCCGATTTTGGGCTTACTTAAGGTACACTCGCCCACTCATCTATTGCTTATGTTGTCTAGGTCGTNTTATTTCTTTAAACCGTAATGAATTTTGAGATAAAACCCAGTTCTCTGATTCAACTAAAACATCTATAAAAGATAATAAATAAGCAGACAATTTATATATAAAAATTTAATTAATGTAGAAGAAGAAGAAGAAGACACACCATCTGAGTCTTTGTCAATCATACAAAACGCCTCCTGGAACTCAGCAATTTGCTGTTCTGTCAGTGAATCTGCCATATCTGCTGGTTTTATTTTAATTGAGACTGAGAAGCGAGAGTGGGGAAAATTTGAAAGAATATAGTGCAAGGTCTCGGGAGGAAAACAATATATAAAGACAAAGAAACGGAGGACGTAGAACAATTCTTTATTATTTTTATTGAAATAGTCTGACGCGGTTGAGAGGCGAAATTCCACTATTCAAAGTCTTCCAGAATTTTCTTTCAGTCTTATATTAACGCTGTTTGGAGGAATTTTCCAATTTCATATACCCTACTTTGGGTTTGTATGGGAATCTCAAAAGTTAGAAAGAGTCAACTGGAGCTTGAATTTTCTTCTGAAAATGGCTAATCCAGACCCACCACAATTACCAACTCCAGGTCAAGCATGGGAAACCAAAGAAAAAACACTCTTGTTAGCCGTTTCTTTTAGGGCGTTTTAGTTTTTTTCATTTCCATTTACCAAACAAAACCTGTTCACACGATTTCAGCTTCGAAATTCTCGTGAATGAATAAAAATCTGATGAACACATCAAAGTATTCTGTAAACATAAAATATTAAACTCTGTATTTATGTCAAATTAACTCTTTTTGGTGTCTTTTACTGGCTTTAAGCGATACTAGAATAAATGAAATAAATTTAAATAATAAATTCCCTTATATTGCCACTCCTAAACACTAACCAATATTAATGATATTAACCATGCAAATGTTTGGTGACAGTGATAAAAACTTTTAGATGTATTATTTAAAAGGTTTTAAATCTAATTTTTTTTCTATTGCTATCCGGTATAGTTAATAAAAGATTTATCTGATTAATAAAAAAGTTATCTGATCATTAATCAAATTGTTGATTCAAATATCCAAATTACAAAAAAGAAAAAAAAAAACTATATATATTAATGATCTTCCAAAAGATTTTAATGAAATCAATTGGAAAAGTAACTATATTATAATGTCGAAGGTCATGGTGAAAGGTAAGCAACGAGGTCGTCAAAAATTTAAATTATTAACAATGTAAAATTTTATATTTTCAAATTTAAAATATAGTTCAATAATGAAAATTAAATTATACGGTGAACTCAGGGTCCACAACTCCAAACAGGCATAAAGACACGTGGATCAAGATTTAAGGGAAACACCGTGTAGGTCCACTGTAACATGTGTCTCGCGATCTAGTAGATTCCTCCCCATTACAAAATCAGCTAATGCTAGGTAAACCTTCTCACTCAAAACCAACTCACAAGCAAGCACTTGAAGGCCAAAGATTTTCGCCGCCGTTTCGATTCCCGAGTTCTAATCCGAGTTAACTCAGTCCGATTTTGGGCTTACTTAAGGTACACTCGCCCACTCATCTATTGCTTATGTTGTCTAGGTCGTCTGGTTTCGACCTTTACGCTTTTGACTCTTAAGCTCTGCGATTCGTTTGAAATTCATATATATCTGTAATTTTTGGATGAAATTTGTGAAATTTGGTGAATTTGATATAAATGAAGTTCTTATACTGAAATAGAGCGTCAATGCAAAATTTAGGGTTTAAGGTTTAGGGTTTAAGCTTGCAATCTAGCTATGAAGTTCCGATATTTTAGCAATATTTCAAACTAATTTTGCAATGATTGTGCAGATTGGATTTGTTTGTGTAGATTTGTATCTTAAAAGAGAAGTTACGGGATTAAAAATGAAAACTTTCATGCATTTTAATTGAAATAATCATGTATATCTATTCGTTTTGTGCTTATGTGTGGCAGCAGAAGAATTGATTTCTGGTTTAGCTGATTAGAGTGCAAGGCCAATGAAACTCCTTGTAAAATATGAAAGTTACATTTTGCGCAATTTGAACTTTTTGACCATATGCTATGCATTTGCTTGGGTTTTTCTGTTACCATTTGGATGTCTAGTTTTTCCTCTGTGTTGTAGATGATAGTACTTGGTGCCATTTTAAAAATAATTGCCAATATACTAACTGATTTGGTGTCAAACGTTGATGATAGTTAAAAGTCACCGTGTCTGTCAGTTTTATTTTATACACTTAGAACTGAATTAATATGCAGGATTCTAAGACGAATATTTGCTTGTTACTTTTTGACCAACCATTAGATAAAATGGATGCATGAAGTGCGTAACAGCTTCGACCACACCTATATATTATGAGATGAATTACATCTATATATAGCTGGACTGAACATGACTAATTTTGATTTTATTTCAGCCTTTTGAAGTGTGCAGAAATGAGTAAGAAAAAGAATCCTGTTGTTTTCTTCGACATATCAATTGATGGGGATCCTGTGGAAAAAATTGTTATGGAGGTAATTCAAATTTCAAAAACCAAAATGTTGTTTGCATTACACTTTATTTTTTCAACCACTTTTTGGAAGGAACTCATAGGCTTTAGTCTACTGTTAGGATGTGTACTAATAAATTTTGTTTGGATGAGTAGCTTTTTGCTGATGTCGTCCCTAAGACAGCAGAGAATTTTCGGGCACTATGCACAGGTATATGTGATTAACTAAATGTTGATTCTTTAA